TTAGTCATTATAATGATTATTTTTAACATGTTTTTTAAAACGTTGTCATCGATGCATTTCTTTTATTTAGATTGTAGGAATATATTTTTTTAGAAAAACTAAAAATTATTACTGAAAATAAAATCAAAATAAAATTGTCATAATGCGATGTTTCTAGAAGATAACAACCCTTTTGTACGTTTAATTAGTATATTAAATTTTATATCAATGGGCATGGATAAACGTTTTGCAATGAAACTTTTATTTCATGGATGGCTTAACCTTTTTTACTTGAAATTAGAACTTAGAATAACATTGATTAATAATTTCTATATCACCCAATTTTTTTGAGTTAATTTTATTGATAATGAGGCTTATTACAGAAATTTTCAAATTTAACATTACGTTTGAAAGTTTGGTTGATGTTTGTGTTGTTTATATAAATTGACTGTTTTGTTTATCTTTAATACTTGTTTTGGCCATTTTAAGTGCTTTCATATAACACTTTTGGTCAATTTTGGTCGATAAATGCACTAATGAAACATTCTTCTTACTTATTTGCTACTTTGTAGTCTTTGGTTCTATCGCTGCTAAAAGTACCAAGAGTCCCGTTCTCTCTATGCTCGAACCCTTCACATACATTGATATGACAATGTAAAAAAATGCAACGTCTTCAAGAAAGGCAAAGTGCTTCTTTGTGTGCGCATTAATTGCGCTATTAATAAAGCAGTCTACTGATTACTGGATTGTTTTGACCATTATTATTGTTATTAACTAGCACCTTTCTTACTTCATATGTGTTTTCTTCGTGATTGATATGAATCCAAATTAGTGGGGCAATTCAGATGCGACACTTTGATTATATGACTCAATTCGTTTAGTAATATAACTGAGGATATTTTTTTCCATTTTTTATTAGATCCGTTTATATGGGTCACTTTCATTGTACGACTAAACTTATTTAGTAATGAGACTAACGATTTTTTTCCATTATTTTTAACATTAATTGCACTTATAAAAAAAACATTATGAGTATAAGTTCTGTAATTTTTAAAAGTTATACGAAAGCCTATTGTCGAAATCTGTTTAATCGTCAGGTTCTTGAAAACCTGACCATCAAAAAGTCTATGATTCTTTTTTTATACCGATGAATTTCTTGTTAATCACCGAGATGCAAAAAAGAATTCAAAAGTGGTATAAAGCATTTGGGTGATCACCAAGAAGACTAAGATTCTCTGATTATATCGCTGAATTTCTTGTTACCACACAATTAATAAGCAATATATTATATACGTTATCTATTTGTATCGTAACCTCTGATCTTTCGACTGTTCTGATCTTCATTTTTTATATTAATATTTAGTTAATTAAAATAGAATTTCATTTAAAAACTTAATGTTAAATATTTTATATCAAAAACCGTGCAAAATTTTGTAATATGTAATAAAATTTCGAAAAGTAGTTTATTGAAGATTAACTCATGGATATTACAACAAAAGAATCTTATCTATATTATTACTCATATTACAAAAGATTGAAAACTCATTGGATTGTACATATTATTTGAAAAGATTTCCGAAATTCACATAATCCAATATGTTTAGTAGTAGTTACTCATATTCATCTGCGTTTATTGTTAAAATCCTTCAACCTCATGCTGGGCCATAATTTCTGGCCTTAAACTCTATTAACCATACTTGAATGATACATTGTAGGGGTGTGTACAAGATAGCCGTCTGCCCATAGAAAAGGGCCGAACGCCTGCACGCCTTACTAAATCCGAAACGAAAAACATATTGACAAATTATCCATTTTACACGCATCGCCTGCTGAGTTTGACCTCAACTAGCTTCTTTTCCCTTGCTTACACAACACAACACAGTACAACACAGCACAGCACAGCATAGCACATCATTTTATGTATACAAATACTAAAAACAACAACAAGTACAAAACGGAAGAAAATCAACCAAATGCTCTTTTCAAGATATCATGGTTGTGTTTCTGTTAACACACAATGCAATATGAGCATACAACAACACAGCAACAGCAACAGCAGCAGCAGCAGAAGCAACGGAATCCATTATTTTTTATATCATCTTTTACTACTTTATTCCTTGTTCTGACAGTTTGGTTTTTGTAGCTGTTGTTAGCGCATTTTTTTGTGCCATTTTATTTGGGTTTTCTTTTATACGGTTGTTGTTTTTTTTTTTTTTCTTTTTCTTTATTTCTACTTGTTATGTGTTATTGTTTTTATATTCTATTGTTTAGTTTGTCACGCTCATTATATGCCGCTAGGATGCAACAACTCTGAAAATGAATTTCTTTGTGCCAGTACGATTATACAATATGAGTCAGAAAAAACTTACTCTCTCCGAGTTAAATTGCTTAACTGCTCTAGTTGAGTTGTCTAATGAGAAAGAGCGAATTTTTTGAAGTTCTTAAAAATTTCTATCGAAAATTGATAAGTGTAATTAAGTTTGTGTGTTTTTTTTTGCAGTGTGAAAGTAATGCAATATGCAATATTTGAATAGTATTAGAATATATTGAGAATAGTAATAATAGTATTAAGTGTGTAGTTAAAACTCTGATAAAAACTATATTGTTGAATATATAATTTTTTTTACTTTCATAAAGTGTAGCTAAAAATTTAGTTTCTTTAAATTTTTAAATAGATATTTTTGAATTTTTGTCATATCAAATTAAACATTCATGTGTAGAATACAAAAAAAAAATTACTTCACTATTCATTCCCTTACTCACTATTTGGTAAGAAAGTATCATAAACGAGAGAGTAATTGTGTACAAGAAAATGCAAACTACGAACGAGCAAAACCACCCAATGTGCAACGCAATCAAACGAAAAGCATAAGGATACGCTGTCATGATACTCTTCAGCAGTGCAATACACATTTATTAAATGAAAGGTTATTTATGTACGTTGTATATAGAGTTTAGTCGAAACCACCAGTATGCAGGATACTTTCCTGCACATACACATTCACACACACACACTAACGCATATAAACACTCTTGTGAAATGAAATAAAAATCTCAAGCGCAACACTTCCTGTACTGTACTCCTGTTCCTCGCGCGCGCGCTTCTCTATGCTCAATGTGGCACAATATAACGGTGCTTGTGTAAGTGCAAGTGTGTGTTTACAAGTTTGCAGGTTGAGCACAAGTACGAGTTCGAGTGCGAGTGCAACTACGACTGCTGCGAAACGAGTATGAGCATGAGTATGAGTATGAGTGCAATGTGATTATATTATCTGAAGTTAGAGCCAAAACTGTATTTCTGAGAACACAGTTACATTTTTCTTGTTGTTGATTGTTTACGTAAATCTTTATGCATTTGTGTGTGTGGTTGTGTTTGTGTTTGTTTGAGATAGTATGCGTTTCATGAATTTCTAGCAAAGGAGACACATCTACGCGTTGTGTGAGTGTTCTGAAATTTAGTCCTTTCGTAGACGTCGACGTGTCCTTGTTATATTTTTGGGTGGATAAATGTGCTTTAATGCTTGTATACAAATTTGACAAAAAAAAAAAAAAAATAAATAAATGTGTGTTGAAGATACTTGTATAAATATTTTATTATATCTTTGCTCAATAAACTTAATTGATGCTTGATTGGTGCTTAATTTTAAATTATTACTTGTAATTAGTGATAAATACAAATAAATCCTTCTAACACTTTAGAAATTCTTAATTCTTTAAATTATTATAATCAACTAATTAATTATAATAAAATGAATGAAAATGATAAATAATTTTGCTTTAATTGAGCATAACCTAACCGTATTATAAGTGCCAATGTGAGAAGTGTTCATTTATTTCAAATTTCCCACGGGGGAGGTTATGCATCTTAGTTTCTCCCTTTACTTATCGTACGCGCTGCTGATACTGTTCAATTGGCGTGTGGGCGCCCGCACATTTGTAAATTTTTTCTCCCGTTGGAAAAAGAATCAGTGACGACGACAGCTTTGCTGAAAAATAAAAATATTTTATTGAGTAGAAATACAAAAAAACAAAAAAATCAAATGAAAACTCAACAAGACATAATATTGTATCGATAGCAGAAAAATGCTCTGAAGATTGATGGCAGTCAGTTGTGTGTTGTAAGTTCCGCGCGGTAGACAAGTAAAGAGTGTGTGCCTGCTTAGAAAATATTAGGCAATTTATGACAAAAAAAAAAACAAATATAACAAAAATATTTTTGAATAGTGTTTTTTAAAATAAAAAACATTAAGGTTTTATTACAAGCAAACAAAGTATTAAATAGGCACGCGGATTATTTACAAAATATAATATAAATTTGAATGAAAATAGTGAAATTAACTTGCTTTTGCTAGTTAGTATAGAGAGCTCTTGATTCACTCCCACCGACGTAGTATTTTTTTTTTCAATACTGGTTCTTTTAACAATATTCCGATATATTGAGTAAATATTTAATAAGTTTTCAAAAGGAATGAAACAAAATAGTTAATTGCAGTAACATCTCAAATACATATGTGATACTAAAGGAAAAATAATTGGGATCTTTCATAAAATCCCTGAACCAGTTATAACTAAAATATCTGCAATACTTCTCAAGACCAATCATACCAATTCATACAAGATAAAATGTGTTTAAATAAAAAAGTAATAAAAAATTATTATAATAAAGTGAATTTTCTTTTTGAAAGAAAAAAAAAGTTTTTCTTTCTATAAAATATAATTAAAACAATTTATTATTGTTATTATTGTGCTATAATTACGATAATTACGAAGAATAATAAAACTAATAAATTCAATATCAAATATCCATTCTTTGATCTTTAATAATATATGACGGAATATAGTTTTAATATTATTATCTCTTTTCATATATAAAAAGTGTTTTCTTTGTGTATGTGATTAAATGTGGATTTACTCAAATTTCATCGAACATCGAATGGGAAAAAATAAATAAAATCAAAATACAGAAAGATTAAGAGCCTTAATATTTGGCAATAACATCCCTTTGTATGCTTTTGAAGCATTTCCTTTACTTTACTCAACTTTGTTGGATTACAATCTATAATAAATGATGGAATGGTTACCAAGAGGATTACCCAGCATTCATGCACCTATACCGATTTGTGGTGAGTCGTTGGTAATGTTATCGTCACACAACAAAACTGCAACAAAACTGTTATGCACAGATTTTACCTGATACGATAGATTGCTGTCGTAAATTCTATATTAATATCTGTGAAATGTGTTTTTTTTTGTGCCCCTTATATCGAGTTATAGTGTTTTGTGTAACATTCAAATATATTATAAATTGTACGTGACTAATCGCGATTTAATATAACTACTAGAATGACATACGTTTTCCTTTTCAATTTTTTATGTTTTGAATGTTTACATAATACAGAGGCGTATTTATTCATTTCTAAAACTTATATCAATATTAAATAAGTTTCATTTTACTTTTTTAAATATTTTCTCCGACTTTAAGCTCCAGAAGAAATACATTTTCAGGAAAGTACTTTTTTAGAATTTGTCAGACAGTTTATTAGTAAAGATGAAAAACCTATTAAATTATCTAAATTCAAAAGTATGAATTTAGTTTTATACTAAAACTAACTTACTGAAGAAATTCATTGGGAAGACCCTAATACAAAACTATTTTCGAAAACGACAAGATCTGATATTTGATATTGAAATAGTAGCGCCGACTTAAATTTGATGTACTGTCGTATAGCCAGTCAGTAGCTTCAGTTCTGCTTATTCAAAGATTTCTACTAAAGATAAAGAGTACATTCTTGTTGTTTGTTATATGATAAGACATTATATAATACAACTAAAAAGTTTTTGGAAGAACTTATGTTTTTGAACTGTACTATATCTTATAGATATTGTAATTACAAAGTCTTATTAACTGTAATGTATACCGAGAAATAATATATGTAACGTTGTGTATTAAAACAAATATGAAAAGGCAAATGAAATAAAATAATATACTACAGTTATTAAAAATGATTTGCATTATTATATCTTACAAAATATATCCGACTATAAATTTATTCAGAATGGAGTCAGTTTGAAATGTATCGGGATAATTGGATGCAAATCAGACGTTATGGTATAATTCGCTTCAGAAACATCACATCTTTACTAATGTTGTCCTGTTTAGCAAATCATAACCTGTTCTGATCAGAATTGAATTAAAATCGGATTATTTTTCCTGTATCTGACACAAAATAAGTATTTTAAGTAACGAATAGAGAGCTACTCTGTACTCTCTATTATATAGATATAATTTAGATAATTTAGATTCTGAAAATTGTATTAGAAAACAGTCATGGTCATGTCATATTTATAGCAAAACATCGTAATACGTCGCTGATAACAGCATAAAATTGTATCTTACCAACTGAGTAGTATAAATTCTACTCAACATTACTGGTAGTTGATATACTAATAATGTTAAAAAAAAAAACTAGTTGCTAATTGCTGACATCAGGATTTTATTTTACATTAGTATTTTATTTTGTACATAGACAATTTATTATAATCCATCGAGATTTTGAAATGCTGAAATTTAACTAATGAAAAATTTATTCGGTATATCCGTAACATTCTTATAGTTTATTAGTATATTAATTTTTTTTAAAATATGCCAACATAAAAAGAATTATATTTCTTTCTAAAGTTCTTTTCTTATGATTTCCACTAGAACATTTTTTTTTATGTGTTATCGGTGGAATAATGTTTCAATATATCATTATTTGTGATATATTTTTTGGAAGGATTATCTCTTCAGTTCGGAGTAGCATTTAATGAAAGAGCTCTTCTTTTTGATTTTAATAAAATATAAAGTATATCTTTTAAAAAAAATCAGTAAAACCACACATGCATAAATTGTTAAGCACCATACCATGAGGCCGAACACAGCTTGAGTTCTTGAGCATGAACGCATCAGTTGATATATCAGTTCCAGTAAAGTGGTAACATATCAACACTGTTGCCTTGTCAAAGAGCGCTCATGCTTTACATGTACAATAAAAAATACTTCAATATAAGAAATTAAACCCCAATTATGTCAAAACACCCTTATTTTTCGTAAAATTCAAATTTGTGTTAAATATTTTAAATGAGTGGTTCATGTACACAAAAAAAAAACAAAAAAAAAACAAATACAGTGGCTGCTACACACGTGTCCTATTAGATCTCGAAAATTACGTAAATGCTACTTAATTATTCAAATTTAAATTCTAAATAAAATTGTTCCTAACACATCTATTGTATCTATTTGTTCCTGGTCCCTTCTTTCCCGCACAGAAGCACAGCATTTATTTACTTTGACATCTTTAACACACAATTAAATGTCATCACGCAAACTCGCTGATACTTTGCCTCTTTGAAGTTCGGCAGACGAAATTTTGATGCTCCATTTTCATTTGATTATTTTCACTTCTGATCTTTTTTAAGAAATAAAAATTTATCGTAGAACATATTTTGGGTTTTGAAATTTACTGTTTTTTTTGCTCTAAGCGCAGATAGTTTTATATTTCCTATGGGATAATGTGTTTTAAAATAATATTATTTTAGTAAATAAATTTGTCTATCATAATTGTTAGTTTAAATTACTATAAACAAAATGTTTGGTAATGGTAGATTTTTTTAAATTATATGTTTTTTCTATTCTCATCTCTTTTAAAAATGATTTGATTCACTTGCAGCTGTTCACATTCTCATTCGAGTTTTTCCCTTTATTTTGGGTTTGCCTCTTATTGTTTTTAATCTTCAAAATATTTAACATTTCCTGTTCAGTTGCCCTACTACGAAGTTGAACATTTGTTTAATTTTATTATTAACATCACACTTAATTACTTTCTACTTTTGTTTTAATATATTCAAGGTCTTTCGGAACTTAGGAACTTACAATGAATAAAACCACTTTTGTGTTATAACCACAATGCTTCAAATATAAAATAAAATTATTTATCTTACCCATTTGCATTCATAATTTATGTCACTTCAGGCTTTCGAAAATGTTTATATCGCATTTTGATTTTGTGTACAAATTAATTTGCATCCAAAAGCAAGAATTAGCACTCTCAATGTTTGCAAATATCACCACATCAAAACTCAGTCACCTATTCCAATTCTCATATAAGATTTCAATATTTATTGATATTATTTGCTTACAGCTCAAATTATTTAATTTAATGATCAAACTAATGACTTTTAATAAATTCAATTATCACCTCATTTGCTAAGTTTCACAATGAAATATTCTTTAAATTAATTGTTAATTTATTGATAGCAAAAGTTTGAAATTTATTTACTTCAGAAAAGTTACAAATTAATTCAGAATACAACATAACAAAATGTTTACACTACAAAAAATAATTTTTTGTTTAAATATAAACGATAATTTTCTCAGTGGATTTACGTACACTTGATAATATAATATATATGAAATTATATAAATAATATAAAATATCTAATATAATATATTTAATGTAATATATATAATATATTATACATATATATAATATATATATTAATATATAATATAATATATATAACAGCGGTACTCATCTAAGCATATAAATTTATCAAATGTATAATTTTATGCGTTCACGTACACGATTATATTAACTGAATTTATTAATGTGCTGTATATTAGCAATGTTTATATCAGCAATAATTATGACAGCACAAAATGCAATGCACAGCAGCGCAATTTTTTAGCCAATATCGGTGCAATTTTTAATATTTGTGCGAACTTTACTGATCAGCTGTGTCGCTATCAATAAATTATAAAATAAAATACCGACAATGAGCGAAAAGTCCATACTAAAAAGTATCTAAAAAGTATATTTTTGTAAATGATAGTTTGTGTTAGAATAGAACTCTGTATTGCCAACAAATAAATTTATACGATATAAATTTATTCGGTGAAATTTTCATGTAAATTTATTAAGTTTTTGTGTACTATTTTTCATGCAAAATTTGACACTTCATTTATCAAGCAGATAAATTTATACGTTTATGAGGTTTATAAGGCATTTATCAGTTTAGAAGAGTACCCCTAATATAATATACAGCTGGAAAAGAACCATTGAGAAACTATATGATTTTAAGAAATATTTGAAAATCCTTTCTCTTGTAGGGGAAGAAAAAGGTGATTTGGTTCAAAATCTTAAAGGTGAATATGTTTATCTATTCATCTTAAGCAAGTTTATTCAAATAAAAACTTTGATTCACTTAAAATGAAAAATTTCCATTAACTTTAAAGAACCCCAAATAAATCGTTTTGGTACTATAGTTTTTAATCTAAAAAAAACTTTACATATATTATTTTTTTTTCCTGTTTAGTATCTTAATTGCTAATTTAATTAAATAGTACTTTAGTTAATTAAATAATTTGAATCGAAAACTTTATGCTTTTGCTTTATATATCTTTTAATAATCATGTTGTTATAGTGCTTTCGAGAATAGTGTATTGTATTCGAATACACTATGCTTTTTGAAGATCAGAAGAATCTTCAAAAAGGTGGAATAATATTAACCACAATAATTTTAAAGCTTGGTGTGTTTGTTTTTAAATTTTTTATTACTGAAACTATAGAGTGATCACTAAAACTCAAATCCAAAGTGAAACTATAGGCTGATAACTTAAGTATAAAATCTCACTATAATAAATTACTATATCTATATAAATTTATGATAAAGAAAAATATATATAAATACGTAAAAGGAAACAGATATCTACACCTTCTAATGTGCTTACTAAACACTCAATAATTTCATAGTAATAATGAAAATGAAAACAATAAATAATTATAAGTTGAGTCAATCGTCCACTTTTCTTAATAATTGGAATTGTTTAGAACGAATTTTGTTTTCTTAATAAAAATAAAAATGAAAAAAATACATATATAGCAATTTTTTTAGTGTACATTTTACGGTTTGTTTATTATTCCTAACGTTTCCTGAATTCGAATTTTTCACTTACCAAACGAAATATGCTCGATACGCGTAACAAAGTACATACTTATTATAGATGATTGGACCGACCCGTAAAGACAAACAGACCGAAGCCGAAGCCGAAGCATGGGTGAGCAATTTGTAAATAATTTTTGTG